CGACAAACCCAGATTAAGGGGAATCCAATAAAAGTAATTGGCTGGTATGCTTCAAAAAGTCAATGTTATAAAAGGCAACTGAATGCAATTCATGATCCAAGATTTTCTTTTGTATAATGGGCACCATTAGGAAAACTGGAAATCACTGAATATTGTCTGAAGATTGTAGTGTTGTATCAGTGTTACTTTTCTGATCTTGAGAATTGTACTGTGGTTAAGGAACTGTCCTTGTTTTTAGGGAAGGCACATTGAAGTATTTGGAGTTAAAGGGGCATCATGCTGAAACTTATTCTCAAATGGTACGGGAAGGTGTGTGAGTGTGTGTGTGTGTGCATGTGTGTGCGCGTGTGTGTGTGTGTGCGTGTGTGTGTGTGAGTGTGAGTGTGTGCGTGTGTGTGAGTGCGTGTGCGTGTGTGTGTGAGTGTGTGTGTGAGTGCATGTGCGTGCGCGCGTGTGTGTGCGTGTGCGAGAGTGTGAGTGTGTGCATGTGTGTGAGTGCGTGTGCGCGCGAGTGTGTGTGTGTGTGAGTGTGCGTGTATGTGCGTGTGTGTGCGTGTGTGAGTGTGAGTGTGTGCATGCGTGTGCATGTGTGTGTGTGTGAGTGCGTGTGCGTGTGTGTGTTAGTGTGTGTGTGTGAGTGCGTGTGCATGTGTGAGTGAGTGTGTGTGTGCGTGTGTGTGTGAGTGTGTGTGTGTGAGTGTGTGTGTGAGTCTGTGTGAGAGTGTGTGTGTGTGTGTGTGTGTGTGAGTGTGTGAGTGTGTGTGTGTAAGAGAGAAAGAGGGAGAAGGGGAAGGAGGGATATAAAGCAAATGCAGTAATGTTAACATTTGGAGAATCTGGGTGAAGAGCAGACTGTTCTGTAAGTCTGGAATTATGTCGAGAGGAAGAAAAAAAAAAAAGAACTGGCAGAGTCAGAACTGGCGGAGTCCCGCACAGAGGACAGCCAGGCCTGCCTTCTTGTAACCACTCCCTTAAAACAGCGGTCGGCAAACTCATTAGTCAGCAGAGCCAAATATCAACAGTACAACGATTGAAATTTCTTTTGAGAGCCACATTTTTTCTTAAACTATCACCCGCGCGATTCACACGACTAGTACTAACCACTGCACAATGCGACTGCTGACTGACGGGCTCACTCGTGCATGAATTGCACACGCCTCCCCCGCGCTGCATATCCCCGCCGCCTGCACTGCGTCTCCCGTCGCCCGGCTGACCGACACCCCCCACTTCTTCTAACGCCACTTCTTCAAAATAGACTGGCCCAGGCCAAAAACCGACTTCTACGCACGGGCCACGAAGTTTCAATCGCATTGTACATGTGTGCCCGCGGGTGGTATTTTGTGGAAGAGCCACACTCAAGGGGCCAAAGAGCCGCATGTGGCTCGCGAGCCGTGGTTTGCCAACCCGCTGCCTTAAAAGCTTTGGGACCGTGAACGCGGGATACAGGGCAGTGACGTGCAGGTTGCTCTGGAGCCTGCAGAGGCCGGATTCCATACAAGCAAGAGTCTATCTTCAAGCCCTGGCACTGCCCATGTTGCAGATTTCAAAAGGTGCTGAGAGTTCCCCATCCTGTGCCGTTTGCCTGTGTGAGCACAGGTATATTTCAGGGACTCAGGAGAATATAGTCAAGTAGACTTGCCTCTGCTCAGCTAAAGACACACGGGGCCCCAATCTCTCACAAATACCGAGGACCGTTTCTATCCCATTGACTAGCCTCACCCCAGACAATGGTCCCATCCTGAGAATTCTTCTTCCTTCCCATTAGCTGAATCCCTCAGTGACATTCCTTGTGGCGAAACAGGGATGCTGAGCCTGTTGCTGCCTCATGCTCTGTGAAGGCAGAAAATTACATGCTTTGTGTTTTCTCCATTCCAAAAGAGTGAAGCTCTGCAGTCTTTCTTGGCCCTTGTTTTTTAACTAATAGAGTTTATTGTTGAGAGCGGTTTCAGGCTCCCAGCAAAATTGAGCACAAAGACAGAGGTTGCACCTAGCCCCACCCCTGCCCCCCCCAACACACACACACTACATGCACACACAGCCAGCCCCACCATCCACATCTGGCACCATTTGTCAGCATCAACCACATCGTTATCACCCAAAGTCCATAGTTTTCATTAGGGTTAACTCTTGGTATTGTACGTTTTATGGGTTTGACAAATGTAAAATGGCATGTATCCATATAGGATAATTTCGCTGCCTTAAAAACCCCCCGTGCTCCACCTATTCACCCCTCCCTCCGTACTCCCAAATGCCTGGCAACCACTGATCTTTCCACGGTCTCCATAGTTTTGCCTTTTCCAGAACGTTATCTGTTTGGAATGATATCGTATGTAGCCTCTTCAGACTGGCTTCTTTCACTTAGCAATTTGCATTTAAGGTTACTCCATATCTTCTCACGGGTTGTGACAGCTAATTTCTTCTTTGTTTATCCTCATCTGAGGATATGTTTTTATTGATTTTTTTTCCTTAGAGAGGGAAACATCAATGTGAGAGAGAAACATTGATCAGTTAGTTGCCTCCTGTATGTGCCCTGACCAGGGATTGAACCCACAATCCTTTGGTGTACAAGATAATGCTCCAACCAACTGAGCCACCAAGTCAGGGCTAGCTCATTTCTTTTTATCACTAAATACTATTCTGGGGGGAGGGGTGGTTAA